ACTCCTAGGGTGTCCCCAGAAGCCTCCACCAGGCCTGCCATAGGCTCCAGGCCTCTCCCCTCCCCCAGGCTCCAGCCACTGCATCCCTGTTTTGGTCTGTTTTACAAATTGGCGATTCCTAGCAGCACAACTTTTGTACAACTGTGTCTTTCTCATAAATAACTGGACCCCATTTCTAGTTGACTTATAGAGGCCTGGCTGGGGAGTAGACAAAAAGAAGTCATGGCACTTGGGAACCCCACCCAACTTAATGCACACCCCATGGATGTATGTTCAGGTTAAATATCACTATGATATTATTTTTTCTGAGGTTCTGGACTTAAGAGGATGGATTTATTATGAGACAGATGAAAAGAAAAGTGTTTAGAGATAAAGAATGAAATCTCATTTTCTTGTGACAGCGTTTTTTTTTTTTAATGGTTCCGTGACGTTTTTGCCCTTTTTTTGAGTTGGGTCCACAGTTTTGACCTCTTGAGCTCAAGTCATCCTCTCATCTCAGCCTCCTGAGTAGCTGCGACTATAGGCTTGTGCCATCATGCTTGGCTTACTTTTGTATTCCTTGTAGAGATGAGGTCTCGCTGTGTTGCTTGGGTTGGCCTCGAATTCCTGGGCTCAAGCAATCCTCCTACCTGGGCCTCTCAAAGTGCTGGGATTACAAATGTGAACCACCATGCCTGGCCAAGATTCTTTTTTAATGTTTCACTTTTTCCTTTTCTCTCTTTGTTTTAGACTAATAACTTGGTTCTCTAACTTATTCCTGGAGTGACCAGCCAAATTTTAGAAATTATGAACTTGGCCATTGCCTTGCTCAGCGATGGTGTGGTTGTGTGCTCTCCAAGCTATGACCGGGCCATGTTTTCTGACTTTGGCACCTTCCCCTACCTTGGGGAGGTGAATCTCTTTCTCTCTCTCTCATTCACTTTCTAAATAAACTATATTTTGTCATCTAAAAAAAAATTACAAACGTATAGATTGTTATATGGTGTGTTTCCGTTCATTGCAGTTATTATTCTTTTTTGAGTTGGAGTCTCATTCTGTCACCCAGACTGGAGTGCAGTGGCCGCTCCCGGCCACCGCAGCCTCACCTGCCGGGCTCTGGCGATCCTTCCGCCTCAGCCTTCCGAGTAGCCGGAATTACAGGCACACGCTGCCACGCCCGGCTGATTTTTTGATTTATTGTAGAGAGGAGGTATTGCTGCCCAGGTGGGTCTCGAACCCGCGGGCTCAGGCAATCCACTCACCTCAGCCTCCCAAAGGCACGGGATTACAGTTATTATTCTTTTTAATCACTCAGATTTTCCTACATTAACCTGATGGGCATTTCATCATCTTGGATTTTCCTCTTTTTTTTTGAATGTAGCCTAGTAGTTCCTGAAAGCTTCCTTGCTTCCTGGTATGACAAAATGCTCTAGACTCATTTTCTACTTTTCCTACCAAAACCTACAATCAGCCATTTCTCTAAGGGACTCTTAGGATATTTTTAAAAGGGAGAGGAAAAAAAAACCCCTAGTTTGCCTTTATTTTTCTTATGCTAACAGTCTTTAGAAACACATCTTCACATCTACAGAGAGCTGAGAAAATGACACAAACCCTTCCACATTCATATTAATTTGAATATGAGTATACTTATTACAGAAAATATCACACCAGTAAATTGAGAAAAAAGAGTTGGGCAAGTGTCAGTGTATGTGATTGCTTGGAACAGTGATTTGTTAAGGTTTTTAGGCAAGTGAACTCTTGGATGTCCATTTCAAATGATGTTACATGTTTTTTTGAGTTTTTTGTTTCTTCAACCACACATGAGCATACATACAAAAGCAAGTATTCAGTTAATTGGAAATCAATATAATGATTGTTTTGGAAGATCTTTATAAGAGAGTTTTAAATTTTTTTTAATTTTATTTTAAACTCATGGAGGTGGGTTCGTTTTGCCTGCATGTTCCTGCTGGTGCAGGACACAAGGCGGAAAACACGTAGAAGTCAGAGCTGGCCTTTGCTGAAGGCCATTGGGCCAGTGCTTCAGGATTTGTGATGTAAGCTACATCGTGGCACTTTTAGTATCTCCGAATCCCCTTTCCTTGCTGTTTTCTTTGCTGAGGCTTAGCAACTCTTACCGTAGGCTAATGGGAACTACTTGTAGTATTCATTCACCCTCATTATTTTCGCTTTAAATATCTCCTTAAAAATCTATTTTCCATTTTTGTTCTCTACCTGAAATCTCATCTTCCTGATACGCAGCCAGCGTTTTCCTCTTGGTGGTGTTTCTCTGTAATAAGCAAGATAGGGACTGGAGATTGGCTGGAATGAACATCCCAAATAGGCTTTATCTTCGCCCCTCTGATCTCCTTTTGTGGTCGGTTGACCAAGGGCGGAGCCCAGTTAGGTATAAATATGCATGTTCGTATCTGCATCCATATCTAGCATGCTGGCTCCCATCCGGCTGCAAATTCAAGGTAACGCGTGAAGGTTCCTCTGGAAGAGTGCGGCCTTCTCACACGCCTCAGGCGAGCAGGAGGAAAAGCCAGGTCACGTCTTCCCTGCGCCTGCATTCGTAGGTCTCTGTCTCTGTGACAGCACCGAGTTGTTCTCTAGCAGTCGGCTCTGATGCGCATGCACAGACACAAACTGAGTCCGACAGGACTATGTCTCCCGGACTTTGCTGTCGTTTGAAACGCTGGCATGAGGATGGGGACAGGGAGAGGGAAAGAAGGCGTATGGGTGAGGGAGTACTGGTTTCTTTAGCACTTTTCCTAGGAAGTTTTGGGATTGTTCACTGTTGATAGCTGTGAACCGCTTGAGAAGTTGTTTTTCAGATGAGATTGATAACAGTAGCTGATTTGGAACAGCTGGCTAGCTTTTGGATTCAAGAAGATGTGTTTCAGTGTACATCTTGCTTCTTTATGCCACCCACAAATCGGTTAAAAAAAAAGAGGCTATCTGGTGAAATGGTAATTTGAATGATTCCTCCCCTTCCTTTTGGTTTTATCTTTCCTGCATTCAAACCATTCATGTATAATAATGAAAAGGATAAAATCTTTTTAAAAAACGTGTTCTCACGCTCAAGCTCGGTTTCAGAAAAGACGCACTGTAGATCTGCATTACAATTCTTTTTAAAGTACAAGTTATTTTAGTGGATTAGGTTATTTCTGGATATCACTAGTGTTTCCTCTCAAGAATTTTGTGTGTGTTTCAAATATTCCCATACAAGAAGATGAACAGTGTGCAGCTTCACTTGGCCAACGAATTCTGAGAGTCAGTCTCAAGTTCTAACAGTGATACAGGAGGCAGTAGTCGTATGCGATGTGCTCTCTCTCCCTCTTTCATGAAGACTCTACTCTGTAGAAGAGGCTCTGCTAGATGGATGGAAGGTTCTGTGGAAACAATTATGGGGCACCTGAAGAGTCACACTTCAAATAACTGCTTGGAGCCCGTCGGTCACCGCCTCCCCCTTTTCCATTCCTGCCTGGACCACCATCACTCTTAAGTCCTGTGTCACTTCTCACCTGGGAGTCTTGCTGTGGCCTAATCGCATTCTCTAAATAATCCTTGATCCAGCTGTCAGTGAATCTTTCCAAAGCTTCCTTCCGTATTGTTCCTCTGCCCCCAAACATTAAGTAACTTCTGTTTCGTGGTCTGCTGAATAAAGGCCATTTGACTTCTATTGCCGTCCGAAGCTCCCCATGACCCATTTTTTTAAAAAGTCTGAACCATTTGCTTTTGCCTCATCTTCTGGTTTCTGGATTGAGCCAGCACTCCAATCCAGTGGTTCAGAGTGTGGTGTCTGGACCAACAACATCAGCATCATCCAAGAACTTGTTAGAGATGCAGATCCATGGACCCCACCACAGACAGACCTACTGACCCACAAGCTCTAGGGGTGGTGCCCACCTATCTATTTCAACAGTCCCTCCAGGTGACCTGATACACGTCGGCTTTTGGAAAGCCCTGCTTCAACCAAGCTAGGCCACTCACCTTTCCCAAAGTTCCTTTCCAACTGCCCTGCCTTTATGCAGAATCCCTGGAATGCCTTTCCCTCATCTTGCTAAAATCCTGCTTGTGCTCCAAGGCCCAGTTTGAGGTACTGCATTTTCCATGGTGCCGTTCTTGATCCTATCTTTTAATGGCATCATTTGGTGTTCCATCCTGGTATGAATCACTTATTGACTTGCACTTGTCATCTGGTGTACCTGTCTTATTTTCCCTACTGATCTGGGAACTCAGAAAGAATAGAATTTGACTCATCTTTGAACCTCGAGACACCTTGCAACAGGAATCACTCTTGATGTCTTGCACACAGTAGGCGCTATAAAAAGAGTTTACAGCTTCTGGATTTTAGAGATTGAGAACATTAAGCCCTTGCCCAGGAGGCATATAAAAATACTGTTCAATCAAAGAGACTCATGCTAACGATTGCTTTGACTTACTGAAGCCAAACTAGACTGGAATGTTGATGTGTCTTCAGGGAAGGAGCCAAATATACTAGTGTAAAAAGGTCTCCCCTCTACTATTTAGCCGGAGAAGTTGAATTAGCCCTGTCATTCCACCTGATGCCAAGAAAGCAGCTTCCATTATTCTGTCAGTAAGTCTTTTATCCCGCATGAGGAACTTCTCTTAAATCTTTCTTATTGCACTGGTGTGCTTTTTTCCTCTGATGTATTCACGTAATGTTTCATAGGAAGGGACACTTCCTTCTCCGCGTACTGTGCCTGAACGGTGGCATGAGTACGGAATGGAGTTCAAGGTGGTTGACTTCAGCATGGCCTGGGAATGGGAGTGCTGGCGTCCCCACTGGGTTTGCATGTCTCACCCATGAAGATCCCAGGGCTCCTGCATTTTACAAACCTCGGAGTTTCCTTCCTAATACGCAAGCATGACGGTGACACTGTGTTGTGGATTTACAATGGACGGTGCCTCTCATGGGGGATGTGACGGCTTGTGGGGGGGAGAGTGAGCCATCTAAACATCTTTGTGTTCTCTTCCTCTTGTCTTCCCACCCCCGCCCTGCACAGGCTCTGAAAGTGTCCCAGCTGCAACCTCAGGCCGGACAGACCCGCTGCAGCCTCGGAGGCAGTGCTCCCCAGCTGCTCGCACGTGCCGCTGCCAAGCTGCAGGATGGTGCCCCGAGCCGGGCCGCTGCTGCTGCTTCTCGCCTTCCTCCTCCGCACGGACGCTGAGAGTAAGCCATCCTCCCTCCTCTCGGGGGCTGCGACCATAATGAGGGGTTTTGTCTGCCCTTGGCACCGGGCTCAGCGCCTCTGAATGCATTTCCTTTGGAAGTAAATCCTGAGACACTGTGGGATCCTCCTTGGCCACCAGCCAGCCTTTGAAAGAGATGATTGACATGACTTCCTTTCCGCTTCCTCTCCCTCTTAATGCTCCTTTTCTTGCGTATCTAACTGCTCCTACTGTTTATTTTTATTTTTATTTTGTGTGCCTCTTACCCGTCTGGTGGCAAAGACATTGTGAGACCAGGCTGTAACTCAAACTGAGGTTAACCAGTTGGTGGTGCCAATAAGTGAACACTGTGCAGCCCCGTTAGAGATTTCTTTAGTTTTGTGGATGCGTCTATGTTTAGAAAAACGCACCGTGTCACATTGAGCCCAATTAAACTCCCAAGCCCCTTGTAGCTGTCATAGCAGCTGTTCTAATGTACTGTTTCCGACAGCTGTCGTCGAGTACAGTATTCAAACAAATCAAGCAGAACTGACAGCCTTGTGGCTGGATGGAGGGTCTGGAAGTGCGAGGAGAGTTCTGTGGAGTACAGACACCCAAGTTTGGATTTCTAGACTCAATTGGTGAAACTACAATTGTGGTCAATTAGCTTGCCAATTAATGACATCATATCTCCTTTGTAATTAGGACATCGTTAGGTCTACCTTGTTGACACCTGCTTATTTTCCTGCCTGTCCTGTGGCTTTTTGGAAGAGATGGTCCTGGAAAAAGGCATGTCCCGGGCTTGAGTTTACGGACATGTTGGTAGTTGTTTAGTTCATATGTGAGTTGGCCGTTTTCCTTGGGAATCGCCTGGTAAGAGTAAAACGTGTAACATCTGCAGTCATTCACTTTACCCTCCACTGACTCTTTCAGTCAGATTAAATGTGACTTATGTTAAGGATGTCTGGAAGACAAGGATCCTGTGTCATCTTGGCCCCTTCCTATTAATTACATTTTGACAAGAATTCCCTTATGAGCAGCCAATTGCTTCATTTAAATAGGGGCTCTGATCTCTAAAGAGATCTTTTGGGCAGTGAAAGGAATAACTTTAATAATCAGATACACGTGGAACATGCATGTTTTAAACACAGCATTCTCTGGCTAATAATGTATGTAGTATCCTAATTAGCACTTGGGAGTGTCAATTTAAGGCGAAGCCAAGGAAATTCCAGGACAGTGCCAGCAAATAATTAACTGGGAAGAGACCCAAATGTAAGATGCTCTTGTTATTTTAAAGCCATTTATGTCAAAACTTACTTTAAAGTTGAAATCTAAATTTAGTTTATTAAAGAGAAACTGAGCATCTGTTTATTATTTTTGTTTTGGCTAGAGTGCAAAAGTAAGTGGTTTCACCATTGTTCATTTTGGGCAAAAGCATATTAAGACCCTGGGAACCCACTTAGATGGCGAATTGCAGCTTGAGATCTTCCTGAAGTTACTTACTGTATATCTGGAAGTTATCCTTCCAGATAAGTAAAAACTTTCTACTGAGCAGCTACATTTTTGCTTAATTCTCTGGTGAAAAGTGGCAAACCGATGTCAAGAGTTTAGAAACAAGGACTTTTGAAGTTATGTTTGAAAACAGTCTCTGCTACAGTGACCACAATCCGTTCTTATACCTTTCCTGTTGTCCAGTCTTACAGAAGAAATCAGCAAGGCTCTCGGTAGCCATTTTTAGTTAAAGTAAGATATTCACCGTGCCATGTATTTTTGTGACATGAGCTTTCAACCTCAGATGTCACTTGAAAGTGAGTCCCTTCCCTTTCACCCTTCCCATTAAGCTAAAAGAGGAAAGAGGCTTTGACTTTGCCAAAGCAATTGTAATTTGTTTTGTCCTTGCCTCATCAGTCTCGGTGTAGTATATTTTTCCTTTCATAGACTCGTTGGGCCCTGTTGATTAGGCTGTGTATCCTGAAAGTTACGGACAAAAGAAAAAAAATCAGCCATATGTTTAAAGGGCCTCTTAAGAGAAGGAACCACCGTAGGTAATTTGCTGGAGGGTAGTTGTGGTTCATGAAACCATATGGTAGAGTTACAGATATAATTTTAGCCACTAAAAATACTTCAAGAACGATGGGTAAAATAAGATCCAAACTGTTACCCTTTAAATTGTGTCATTACCTTTTTTTCAGACACTGAAAATAAAATATACAAGTAGCACTAAGGAAAAGTTTGGTTTCTTCATCATCAAATAGAGATAATATTTTTCAGGCTTTTATTACCCGGGTCACCGATTCATTTCCTTATGTCTTACAGTAACACATCTAGCCTTTACATTCCCTTATACCTCACAGTGTTTTGTATTGATTCAAAGGATCAAGAGTTATCTTTTTAAATTAATAGTGGAGCCATTTTAGAATTCTGGAACAATTTTTTAAAATGTTCGTTCTCCTTAGAAGAAGAGGATTATATGGGGGTGGGAAATGGACAGAAGTCACTTTAGTTGACTGTGCTCATTTAATGTGTCCGACATTAAATTTCTTTTGAATTAACTCCAAAGAGTCTAGGAGTCAGGGTTATAATCTTCTGCGTAGAAGGTCATGACAAAGTGCTAGGTATGACGTTGCAGTAAGTAGGAAAGCTCTTTTGAACCTTGGTTCACACCTAAGTTGGAAAATTGTGTTACTATCTCAGCAGAAAATTAGAATCTTTGCCATTACCAGTTTAAAATGTTCTATATAGCCACAATTATTTTAAAAGGCGGGGCGTGTGTATATCTTGTTTCTTTACATCTTTGTGTCTTGAGTGCTCTCGATGATTTTGCTTGTTGTTTCTCGACTGCGTGTTTGCACGGTAGACCTGTGATCGCAGAAAAGAGGCAGCAAATGTGACCTTAGTGGGAATAGCTGTTCCTCACGCCTGGCCAGCCCAATTTCTGGATAGGTAGTGATCTGATTGAGGTCAATCCTGGTTTACATAGTGGTTTGACGAAGATCAATTCAGCAGTAACGTGCATGCAAATTAAAGATTAATTTAGATGAAATGAAGGTAATCCTGGTGAATCTTTTTTCTTTGGCTGAGTTTTTACAATAACTTCTGGTCGTTTTATTTCATTGATAGCTTTCATTTGCTAGTTACCGTTTTGTTTTAAAAAACTAGATGCAGGCCAAGAACCTGATGTTAGCGTCCTCAGACATGTTTCACTCTAATTAAATCACTTACAACTTACTGTTACATTTGTCAACTTGAGTTTACACTGGGGCCACTGTAACTAGACTCGAATCTGTTCTGGATTGAATCTGGAACTCAGTTACAAACATAACTTTTTTTTTGAGCGGGAGTACAAACACACTATTGATAGAGTTCATCCATTCGTTGTTGCTTTTTGTTATTTTTATACCTCAGATGGTGAATACTTCTCTATTTTTCTTCCTTATTGTTCAACAGTCTTGCTGTAGTCACTATGTACTCACAATATATCAGTGCTATATGAAAGCAGTAAGTTTTTCCCACCTTTGGTATTATATCACTATATCCTGTGACTTTTTTTTATTTCTTTGATGTTAAAGAATAGACCGGCATCTATGTTGTAAGATAACTATTGTTAACTTAAGTATTTCCTGATGGGCAGCATAGGGAAATTGTTAAGAATGTGAGATCTGAAGCCAGAGTCTGGTTTTGATTTTTGACTATCATTTGGTGAATCATGTTCTTTGCCTTGGTTTTCTTATCTCTAAAATGTAGATGATGTTTATGATGGGATGGTATAATACCTACTCTTGGGATTTGTGAGGATTCACTGAGTTAAAGTAAAGCACATAGATTGGCAGAGAATACAAGGTAGGTGTCTCATAAATGTTAGCTAATCCCAGAACATTCAGAAAACATTTTTTTTTTTCTTTTGAGTCAGAGTCTCACTCTGTTGCCAAGGCTGTAGTGCACTGGCATGATTATGGCTCAACTCATCATAGCCATACCCTGGAAACCCTGGGCTCAGGCGATCCTTCTGCCTCAGCTTTCTGAGTAGCTGAGACTATAGGCTTGTGCTAAGATGGCTAATTTTTTTGTAGAGACGTCTTATGTTGCTTAGGCTGGTCTTGAATTCCTGGGCTCAAGTGATTCTCCTGCCTTGGCCTCCCAAAGTGCTGGGATTACAAGCGTAAGCCTCAGGCCCCGGCCCCGGCAAATATTTTTGTTGATCACTTGTGTTAGGTACTTGGCAAAAATTCATTTATTTGACCCACAGATTACTAAAATGTAAAATGGTGGATAAGCTAGGCTTTCTTGCATTATGTCTAAGTCTTCAGTTTGCTCCTCTGTAAAGTCCTATACCTAGGAAAGTCGTATGAGCCCTTGCTCCAGGAATTAGATCACGAGGGGAAATTTGCAGCATATCTGCTTTAACCAAGCTTTTTCTCAAGCAAGCTTTTCTCTGAGAATGACCAACTTAGAATTAAGGTGGCTTGGGCAGAACGGATAGTGGAAGATGTTTCATCTGTCTATTCTGTTGCTTCTGATCATGCAATGTCTTGAGATGCTCAGAGGAAGGAACTATAGACATTTATTGTAAGGAAATACGGTCATAAGTGGCCTCTCCAGAAAGTCAAAGGTGAGGAAGAGGCAGAGTGGCCATTGATATGACCGGGAATTATCTGACCACGAACAAAATAAAATAAAATAAAGGAATAAGAAAACGAGGCATTGAAAAGCAGGCATTTTGCGGAAATTAGTGAGCTCTTCCAAAATGAAAAATGAAAAGGAGTCTGGTTTTGATTTTTGACTGTCATTTCTTACGTCATTAAAATGCTTACCCTCCTGCAGACGGGATCGGTTCACACTAGGATCATGTCTCATTAAACATCTTTTTGCTTTTATTTTAGAATAGGAGTGTCTCCCCTCCACCCCACCCAACCATTTATCCAACCTTTCAAAAGTAAATTGCTTGGGATGATAAAAATATTCTACAATTAGATTGTGTGTGACAGCGCTCATTGAATGTCAGTATACTAAATTGCACTGTAC